TGTCTTCAGTTGGTTGGGGTCAGAGGCTGGGCTCTAAAACCCAGTGAACGTAGGTTGGGCCTTGGTGAGGCTATTTTAGTGCCCTGTCATTTATAAATTGGTTTCTGCAGGCAGCATAGCGTGACAGCAGAGGGTTGGACTGGTGGGGTTCAACTCCCAGCTTTACGGTCTGTGTGACCTTGGGCAAGTCCCTTTCCCACCCTGAGCCTCACTTTCTTCACACATAAACTGGAGTTCAAAGCAGTCGTCACCTCGTCGGGTCATTGTGAGGATGAACCGAGCCACATGAAGCGCTCAGCACAATCTCTGGCAAGTAGTAACTACAAAAGCATTAGCTCTTGTTATTGTTCAGTACCGGAGTCTATGTTCTAAAGTGCCGGTCTTGTCCCTCAGAGGGAGAGCGGGAGTCTGGGTGCTGCTTGAAGGTGATGCTGGTGTGTAATTGCTCACTTGCGTGGCTCTGTCCCTCCAGACGGGGCACTGAGGGCAGGGATGCGTGGGTTTCATTCATCCTGTTCCCGTGTCCGGCCCAGGGCCCGCCTGGAGCGGAGATTCCACGCACTGCAGTGGGCTTGGCTCAGGACGGAATCTCTTGAGTAGAAGTGGCCACTTGGGAGCCCCTCGGAGGACAGCCCCTCAGGCCTTCTGACCCACGGGCCATTCTCGGTGGGGGGGGTGGCATGCTACCCCCTTTCCGGTTGCCTGTGCCAGTCAGGCCCAGGTTGGTGTCCTGGTGTTTCAGCCTGACCCTGCCCAACCATCGCTGTCACCGCTGGCTCGCGTGGGGTCCGGGTTCTGAAACGCTTGTGCGTGAAGCCTGCAGAGGCCTGGCCCCATCCCTGGTTGCTCTGATTCCATGAGCTCGCGACCCGGGAACTGCCCCTCTTAACGCCGGGCTTCATTGACCCCCGGGTGAGGTTGCTCGGCGGTGGGGAGCAGGATCACAAAGTGGGCAGGACACTGGACTCCAGCGTCAGAGAATCTGGGAGGACGCAAAACTCAGCTGGGCCCCCATCCGCCACGTGACAAGGGCAAGCACCTCCACCTTCCTGAGCGCTGGAGATCCTGCTTATAAAACAGGGATGATGAAGTCCCGCTCTCCACCTCACAGAGTGGTGGGGGATGGGGGGGGAGCTCTGGTCTCAAGTCAGAGCTGAATTTTAATCAGGGCTTAGCCACTTAGTTGTGTGGCCTTAGGCGAGTCACTGAACCTCTGAGTCTCAGTTTCTTTATTTGTTAAATGGGGATAACAATATCTGGGGGGCTTGTTACAGAGATTAGATAAGAGACAGTGGGAATGGTGTGATGGAAACTATAAGGTGCTGTTACCCCTCTGTCACAGTCTGGCGGGGTGGGGGGTGGGGGGAGCTGCTGCCTACGTTCCCGTGGTACCCCTGGCCTTCTTCCCTCAAATGCCAGAAGTCAGTCCCAGCTTTAGGTATTAAGGTCCTCAGTAGAACCAGAGCCTGTCCCCCCGGCTAGTGGGATCGTGTGGCAGGAGCTGTTTCTCACTGGGCCCCGGGTTCTGCATCTGTAAGCCAAACAGCAGGGCTTGGGGCTTCAACATCCTGGGACTCCTGGGAGGGTCTGATCTGGGTGAGTGGTCTTCTGACCCAGAGTGGCAGAGGTGGTGCCCCCCGTGTTAGAGATGAGAGTTGGGGCTCAGAGAGATTCAGTAACTCCCTTGCTCAGGGTCACACAGCTAGTCGGAAGCAGAGCTGGGATTCAAACCTAGGTCTTGAAGGAAACAGCCTTTTACTTTTTCTTTTCTTTCCTCTTTTAACAAGAACAACAAGAGTTATGAGCCTGGAATGAAAAATAAGATCGTGAAGAGGTCCAAAAGCCAGCCCCCGGAGCTGGCTGAGGTTTCAGGAAACGTATCACCTGTTACACATGAGAACCAACACCGCCACCTGTGGCCAGCCTCTTTTTATGGATGACTGGGACAAAGTCCAGGGGCCTGGCGAGCTGAGTGGCTCAGGGCCAGCTTGCAGGTGCAGAGGCCTGGCGAGCTGAGTTCAGGACCAGCTTGCAGGTGCAGAGCCCCCAGACAGGCGGGCTTCCAGAGCAGAACGTCCAGGCCAGGCTTTCTCATTCCACCTTCTGCCCGAGCAGGCCAGCTGAGCCCATGCGGTGAGATCAGTTGTCAACTCACCAAACTGGCTGGACCTCCAGGCCTCAGGCCGGCCCCTGAGGCACAGCTAGAGGCTCAGAGACAGAGGCTCCGCCCATGCGCAGGTAGGCCGTCCAGCCCCACCCTGCTTAATCCCTACGCTCTGGCCCAGCCCTGCCCTGCTTAACCCCCACCCTCTCACCCTCAGGCATGGAGGTCTCCAGGTCAGGCATATACGTTTGGGGACTGAATCAAGCCCCCCCCTCACCCACCTTAGGGCTTCAGACTGTTGGTCAGGAAGGCAACAACTTCTGCATAGTAATTGTTATTATTGTAATTGGTAGCAATTATTTGACGTTTCCTGGGTGCCAGGCACTTTGCAGAGACAAGCTCACATAAGCCTTGCCATAATCCCTTAGTAAGTCCATTTTACAGGTGGGGAAGTTGAGGCACCACGATGAAGCGATTGCTGAAGGCCACACAGCTGGTAAAGATGAGGCAGATTTGGCATCTTCAGGCAGGGAGAAAGGGAGGAGTGGCCAGAGTGCCCAGCGTGGATTGAGCCCTCCTGTGCCCTAGCCTGATCGTGGTTCCTCTTCATACCTCTGCAGGGTGGGTGGGTTAGTATCCCCATCTGCTGAGAAAGAGGCAGCTCCGCAGTGCCTCCCAAGGTTATGTGGCCGCTCTGGCAGCTCCGGGGGTGGGGAGCAAAGGTTGTTGTGTGACCCTCCTATACCTGTCTGTGCGGAAGGAAGGCCCGCTGAGCCAGGGCAGGGCAGCAGGTGCACCGGGGATGGCCGAGTCCTCCACTGTGTGCTTGGCCTTGATCTTGCCGTGTGACTTGGCCGGCTCTTGTTCTCGCCATCCCGTCCGAGAGATGCAGTGTTCTCAAAGGTCTTCTGCGGAGTGGATATTGCTCCTGGAGTAAATAACCCCGGAGGGCATGAGCCTCCAGGAAGTTGAGGAAGGAGCAGAGGTGCAGGGAGCTTCATGGGAGATTCTCTCCAGCCAGGCTCTGCTGCCCCAGGGACCGCAGGCCCACCTGCATCCCCCTCGGAGCAGAGGGGCCAGGCCATGCTAGCGGCCAGGCCTATGGCAGTGGGTCTCAACACGTTAGAATCCTCTGGAAAACTTAAAAAGATCCTAATGCCTGGTCTGTACCCCAGACCAATTTAATCAGGATCTCTGGGAGGGGGGCCCAGGCAGGAGCAAGTTGTATAACTCCCAGGGTGGGCGCCTGGGTGGCTCAGTTGGTTAAGCGACTGCCTTCGGCTCAGGTCATGATCCCGGAGTCCCGGGATCGAGTCCCACATCGGGCTCCCGGCTCGGCGGGGAGTCTGCTTCTCCCTCTGACCCTCTTCCCTCTCGTGCTCTCTATCTCTCATTCTCTCTCTCTCAGATAAATAAATAAAAAAATCTTAAAAAAAAAAAAAACTCCCAGGGTAATTCTGACCTATAGCCGAGATTGGGGACCACTACTCAAAGGCAAATGGGGGAAGTAGGAACCTCCTGGCTTTCCAGGATTGGTGACCCCCTGAAACCCAATGGACACACATGCCTGCCTCTCTGCATCTGGGGAGAAGGTCCACAGCTCCCACCAGCTTTTCTGACCCAGAGGAGATCAAAATCCATTCTTGGGAGGAAGCAACCACCCCTTCCCATAAACCAACAGTGTCATTTTTAAGGACTGGAAACCTCCAGTTGCAGGATCAAAGAAATCTTTCCCGACCTTCTCAGACACCTTCTGGTTCCTTCTTTCTGCAAAAACATATCGTGTGCTTAGCACGTGCTTGGCACTGCTCTAGGCTCTGGGATCCAGGGCAAATGAGGCAGACATGGCCCTCCCCTGAAGGAGTCAAGTTCTCACGGGGCTCTAGATGCACTCGTGAATCAATGAGCTAACTGCAGTGAGTGGGCCATGGGACAGGCGCCCCCCTCCACCCCCCAGCCTCCCCGTGTCAAAGGTGCTGTTCCTTACAGTCGGCAGGGGAACCCCCCCTCCCCAGGATTCCGATGACTTGGTCGGGGCAGGGACAGGGTGCTGCGTGTTGGCAGGCTTTGATTCTACTGTGCAGTTGGAGGCAAGGCCTGCTGTGTAGATTCCGTGTTTGGGGAAGGCCTCTGGGAGGAGGGAACTTGGCCTATGGGAAGGGCCTGAGAAGCCAGCAGAGGGCTTTGAAGGGACCATCAGGGCAGAGGCACTGAGCTGGGCAAGGGCCTGGGGTACGGGAACCGCAGAAAAGAGTGGCCTTAGGAATGAGTGTGTGTATGAGGAGGGTTGGGAGTGCTGAGGACAGAGGAGGGGCAGGGCAATCCAGGCAGGGCTCCGTCGGTTCCATAGGAGCCTGGATTTTATGGGAAAACTGTTGGCCATATCACGATTACACGGTTGTAGACAGGGGAGTGACAAAGTCTGGCTTACAGTTTTCAAACCCCTTCCTGTGGTGTGGATAAGGGACTGGGGAGGACGGGAGTGGAACTCGTGACCAGCAGGGAGCTGCCCTGGGCCAGGCAGAAGGTGAGATTTGGCCGGGTGAGGTGCTGGACTGGAGGAGACACTTTTGGGGTATGGGATGAGCGGGAGGAGGGAAAGTGTGGCTCCTAGGTGTTTGGTCTGGGCCATCCCCCACCCCTCCCCTGCCAGGAACCCTGCAGCACTTAAAATCCTTAGCACCGGCCCCCCAGGTACCCTCGAGAGCCTCTGGTCTGGCGTTTCCTAAGAGGTGCTCCATGTGGTGTTGAGGGCTGTTAAGTGAAAAATGGCTTCAGCTCAGCAGTGCTGCTGCTGGGCATCTTGGAGAGGTGAACGGCCTGACGTACGGGTGGCTCTTGGCGAGAAGTGGCACTCCACAGACGGGGTGACAGCAAAACCTTCTGTTCTCAACAGGGCATCTTCTAGGACCCCTGATCTGAGGAGCCACTCCCCAAAACACTGCTCTGGTGCCAGCCCATCATTGGACAGGTGAGGTGGCAGGCCCGCGGAGGGCGGTCACCAGGCCGGGTCTCGTCCCTCGTGTTCTGCCAGAGCAGGGACTGAGCCTGCACCTCCCTACCCGGGGCCTGCAGGTGCCATGCCATCACATAACTCCCTTCCCCCAGGCTGTCTGGGGACGCGCAGGTTCTAGGATCAGGCTGGAGGGCTCCTACCCCATCCTTAGGGGAGGGACAAACCAAGCCTCCTACCCTACAGGTGCAAATTCACAGGTGCCCAACAGACAAGGAGTTCTCTTGAAGGCACCAGCTCTTCCCCAGTCCCACGTCCTTTACACAGGGGCTTCTGGGAAGGTGAAGGAGCCTTGGCAGCAGGTCCTGGCCCTCAGAGCTGGCTCAGGGTGCTCACCCCACAAAACCTCCACCCCACCCCTTGGGTGAGGACAGAAGAGGCCTGAAAATAGAGTTTTAGCTGACGCAGGGGCAGTGGGTATCAGACCCCTTTCAGGTGGCTGAGTGTATGAAAGTCCTGGTGTTTCATGTGGAAGTCCCTCCTCCCTTCACCCCTCCCTCCCTGCATCTCTCCATCTCTCCATTCTCCTGTCTACCCATCCCTCCATCCAGCCATCGTTCCACCCCTCCATTCCTCTGTCTCTTCATTCCCCATCCATTCACTCCTCCATCCCTCCGTCCATCTGTCCATCATCCCTCCATCCAGCCATTGCTCCATCCATCGCTCCATCCAGCCACCATCCCATCTTTCATTAGGCAGCATTTGCTGGGAGCCTTCTTTGTTCTCCTAAAGAATACGTAGTCTTTCCTCTCAAGGTATCACATTTCACCGGGGAGAATGGGACAGTTAAGTAGAGAATTACTGTATAGCATCAGGGATTAGCATAGTAACCTCCATTTATTGAAAGGCTACCACATGCCAGGCATTTTATTTTATCCACATTATCTAATTTAACCTCTGGACAAATCTTCCAAATAGGTTTTATTTTCCTCCTCTCACAAATGAGTAAGGTGAGGCTCAGAGAGGTTAAGTCGTTTGTCCGAGATCACACAGCTAGGAGGTGAGAGAATTACATTCCCACCCAGGCAGTCTAACGCCCGAGCCTGTTCTGGGAACTGATCCAGTATCCCAAAGCTATTGGAAGGAAGCAGAGAGGGAGCATGGCTAACCGACACGCGTGTGGGCAGGGCCAGCATGACGATGGTGGTAGAGACAAGGCTGGCTGGAGTAGGAGGCTTCCTGGAGGTGATCTCTGAAGTCAGTCTTGAGGGATGAGTGGGAATTAGTAAAATATCAGCACGGTAATTTCATTGTGTGAATTGATTTGGCATAAAATTATATATTTGGTCAATTTAAGTTGTAGCTGCTTAAGAAATGGACAATTTACCTGCTATAAAGTATAACATAAAATCAGAACCTCCTTCCTCTTGCTCAGACAGCTACCAGTGGCTACTCTGGAATTTTCCAATCAGATGTGCATGCGTGTCATTCCCTTGTGTTGTTGGCGGTCTATATAGCTTGCAGGGAAGCAGGGGCAGACCCTCCAGTGTTTACAGAAAGTGTATACCCAGAAGCATAACACCGGGGGACATTCCCTTTGTTTAATTTCATCTGTGGATGAAACCCTCACCCCTTACTTGTTCCACAAGTGCTGAGAAAGGCCTGCCCCAGCCCTGGCCCACTGCGCCCCCGACCGTACCAGCCACCGACCTCACTCTGTGGAGGCGGGTTCAGTTAGGACCCTCACTCTACAGGTGAGGGGATCGGGGACCTGCAAGGCCCTTCCCTATGGCCATGTGCTGGCAGAGCCAGTATTTGACCCCTTACCCCGGGGTCCTTTGTCTTCTGTCTCCCACGTGCAATTCCTTACACTCAGTACCTGCCACCAGCTCGCTTGCCCCCCCAGGATCTCAAGCTAACGGTGGTCCTGACCCTTGCTGCTTCTTACAGACACACGGGTGTATGTCACTGGATCCCCTGCACTGGGGGCTGGCAAACTTGTTCCAGAACGGGCCAGGGAGTAGATGTTCTAGGCTTGTGGGCCCAGTGGCCTCTGTCGTAACGTCCACTCTACTGCCTTAATGCGGGAGCGGCCGGGGGACAAGACATAAGCCAGGGGGTGTGGCAACTTTACTTAGGGCCATGAAAGTGTGACTTTCCTGGGCTACAAAACCTTCTTTTTATTTTTTTCCAACTATTTAAAAATGTGAAATCTGTTCTTAGCTCACAAGTCGTACAAAACACAGGCGGCGGGTTGGATTTGATTTACAGACCCAGTTGGCCACCCCCTGCCCTATACCGGCCCTTATTCCCATCTCATAGATGAGAAGACTGAGGCTCAGATCCTCCCAGGCCCTCTGAATCCAACTTTGGTGGGGGAGGGGGGTCCCTGAAGTTGATGCCACACCCCATCATGGTGTGACCTGGGCATGTTCTCAGCCTGAGCTGACCCCCCGGGCTTCTTGGAACTGCCCATCGTCTGCTCCGTGTTGCTTTGAGGGGGAAACGTCTGTACTTGGAGGGAAGGGAGACTTTGCATCCTTGGGCAGCGTGCCCTGGAGCCGCCATCCCAGGCTCTGGTGCTCAGCACCTTCTCCTCCCCCAGGTGATTCCCAGGTAGCCTCTGGGCCTGCCTGGTTTGGCCAAACGGCCTGCCAGTCATGGGGCTGCCTGGCTCCTGTTCTAGCATCTGAGCTCACCCAGCTGCCTCTTGGAGAGGATGGGGGGGCCCGAGGGGCTAGGCGGCCTGGGTTCCGTCCTTGCTGGTCCATGTACTAGTGATTTGGGGCAAGCTCCTTCACCCCCTCTGTGCCTTAGTTTGCTCATAGGACACTGAATGGCTCCCCCCGATGCCTGGTACAATTTGTGCAAGTGCCCGAGACCAGCGAGGTTGCTCAGAGTCTGGAGCATCAGGGAATACCAGCTCAGCAGCCTCCGCCTCCTCCTTGCCCACCCGGAAATCCCAGCCATCCCCACCGGTCCCTTTATACCCTCGAGGCCACTCTCTGGAAGGACGCACTTCACAGGGGACAGATCTTGGGCTCTGGAGCCCACCCCTGCTTGCTGGCTGTGTGACTTGGATGAGATCCTTCACCTCTCTGAGCCTTGGCCCCCAGGGATGGGAATACCTCCCTCACCTCCTAGGCACAGGAGGATTGAAGGGGATGACACACGCTGGTGGCCGCCTGGAGTCACTGCCATTCGCTGGCAGCTACTTCTCACTCAGTGGGCCCAGAAATCACTCTCGTCCACAGACTGCCCATTTCTGAGCACCCACAAGCCTGTGAGGCTGCCCTGGCAGGCCAGCCTGAGCAGAGGACGTGGGAGCGGAACATGTAGAAACTCCCTTCCGGTACTCTCTAGAAGCAGGCAACGGTTGCCAAAGACCATTTGCGTACTTTTCCAATTGCACAAGAACCCGGCGCATGCCACTCAGGCCCTTGGCCACTGCTAGAGCGTAGTCGGTGAGGTTCTTCCAGTAAAGGGGTGACCTTTCTGCAGACTGCTTGGGGCTCAGCCTGGGTCACTTACTGGGAGGAGACCCAGCCAGGCAAGCAGGCCCAGGTAGGAATGAAAAAACGTGCCACCGCCGTGCGAGAGTCTTTCCTCCGCTGCTCTTCTGTTCTTCGCAAATTTACGCAGAGCCTCTGGTCTGTCGAGCGCTGTGGTGGAGGGGAACAGTAACGCTCCTTTATGCGGACCATCCCCTGCAGGGCTCCCTCAGGCCAGCCTGGGTCCGGGATCGCAGATCTCTAGACCTCCTGACTCGGGGGAGCCCTTGTTTGCCCTACCCTGGGTCTGAGGTAGGCCCCGGGTGGACTTACCGAGGCCAGACTTCCCTGGCTCCCGAGTCCCTGTTGTCCCTGCATTTCTCAGACCCAAGCTTTGGACGCTGGTGGCCTGGAAGAGCCATTCAGTCTAACCTCCCCATGTAGCACTTGAATCCCCGAAAGTGTTTACTCACACTTGGCTTCCATGCCACTTGTGACGGGGTGTTCATTACCACCCAGACAGCCTTTTCCTTCTTTGGACAGCTTTGGCTTCATGTTGTGCCCCAATCTGACCCGACAGCACGGCAGCTAGAGAAAATTCTCTCGAATTGAGATGGATCCAACACCAAACTGGACCCCCTGGGAGGTAGTGAGCCCTCCCTCTTAAGCCCCCTCCCCTCTCCTTGGAGATATAGAAAGTCAAAGCTGAGCTCCCCCCTGGCAAGGGTGATTGAATGTGATTATTTCCAGAGAAGGCCGAGGGGACCTCCTTATGGACAGGGGATATTCACAAGGCTTAGGACTGCCTTTTACCCTTGGAGGAGGAGGAAGGGGTGAAGCCTACCCCTCCTTCCCTCTGCTCTGTGGCCTGCTCCCCTGCCCCCTCCCGCATAGGGCCTGTGGGAACAGGACTGGGCCCTATGCCTGCTTCCCTGCCCCCAAGGCCAGCTGTCCCATGCAGCTGCCCTGGCCCCAGCTGCCCGGCACTGGTCCTGTCACCCCGCAGGGCCTGAGAGCTGGCTGCTGTCATTCCTGGATTGTATGGCTTTGGGGAGGGGGTGAAGGCAGCAAGCTTCCCTCTTCCTCCTTGAGTCCTGCCCTGGCCTGGGGTCCATCAGTGTGGAGAGACACATCAGTGTGCTCTGTTTCAAAAGCACGAGTGTATCACCCAGAATGACAGTGAAAAATTGGCAACAAAAGTGTGTCTAATCCTAGAGTATTGGTTACATGTGTTGTGATATGTCTGTATCTGGGACTTGAACCCTAGGATCTTTGGGGGCTCCTGAATGGGCTTAATGGGGCCTCTGAACCCCCAGAAATTATATGTAAAATGCTGCCTATACATGAATTTTCTGGAGGAATCCGACCCTCCAAAATGTAAAATGATCTACAGTATGGAATCCTATGCAACATGTGAAGTTATGTTGTAGAGCATTTTACCAGCATACACAGAGAGTATATTGTCGGATGAAAAAAAGCAGGTTACGAATCGCTCTATATAGTAAGAGCCCAGTTTTGTTTAAAACCATCTGTGAAACACACATGCTGCAAGTTTAGCTACTAAAATGATGACAGTTTTTATCTCTGGGGTGAGAGAAAGAATTTTTTTAATTAGTGTTGTTCTGTTGAATGTTCTATCCGTCCGCTGCTCGACAATGCATACTTGTTCCCTTTGTGAGGCGATGGTGCGGGGAGCACTCGGTCCCTTTTCTGAGAGGCTGGAACTCTCTTTCTCCCCCAGCAGCCCCCTGGCCCCAGGGCTGCAGATCCGTGCCACAAGCCACTGTCTCACCTCTGGGGCTCCAGCAGTCACCTGCTAACGTCCTGGCCACCTGACTTTGACCAGCATCCATCTGGGTATTTCCAAAGCCCGTGAGGGTCTTATGTCATTTCCCTGCAGGCCCTGCCTGGTCGAGGGGCCAGTCCAGACTCCCAACTGTCAAACATCAAACAACTGAGATGGCCTGTAGGCCTACACTTTCTAGCTGTGTGGCTTTGGGCCAGTCATCTAACCTCTCTGGGCCTCAGGGTGCCATAAAATGGGACCTCATGTTAGTACCTCCCCCGGGATTGCTGTGAGGATGTGCTGGGATGATTTGGGGCCAGCAGGTCACTGCCTGTCAGCTTTGTTCCCCTTTCCTCTTGGCCTTGACCTACCTGCCTTCTCTCTTTCTGCCAGGGAGCTCCTGGACCGGCAGGATGGGGTCAGCCTGTATCAAAGTCACCAAATACTTTCTCTTCCTCTTCAACTTGCTCTTCTTTGTAAGTATGACCAGCACCAGCCAACCGCCTCCCACGGAGACTCTTCCCTGGGGCAGCGCAGCTGAGACCCTCCAGAGACTCCAGGCCAGGGATGGGGTGGGGGGGGGGCGGTCAGTGGGGGCTGAGGACGGACCATTGGGAATGGAACCATGTGGGGCCAGCCAGGAGATTGCCTGCATTCCAGCTGGTTCTGTGGCGGAGCACTGATGCTTCTCCCAGCTGTCGCCTCTGCTGGGGTCCTGAGGTCTGGGCCAGTCAGGGTTGGAGGTGGGCATGGGTGGGGAAGAGCCCCCAGGGTGTTCCCTAACTCATCAGTAGGGAGTTCTCTGAAATCTTTCTCACGATGTGCTGGCCCCCTACCCTCCTGTGCCCGCTCTGAAGGTCTTGCTGTTAACAGCTGCCCCCGCCACCCGCACCCCCACCGTGGGGGATGTACCCACACACCCCAGAGGGTGTGCAAGAGAGGCAGGCTTGGGGCCAGAGTGGGGACATGGTCCCCCTTCTCCAGACACACCCTGGCAGGCCCCACCTCGGGTCCCTGAGCCATGGGGCTGCCCAGATGTAAGCCCGGTGCACATCTGGAGCTGGTTTTCCTGGGGCCTCAGTTGTCCTCTTGGGCCTGGCACTGACTGACTCCTCTTGCTTAGATTTGCCAGGATGATGGTGTGTGTGTGTGTGTGTGTGTGTGGTTGTGTATGTGAGTGAGAGAGAGTGTGTGTGTGTATGTGTATGAGTGTGTGTGTGTGATGGGGCGAGGGAGAGTGTGATGCATGTGTGAGTGTGCATGTATGTGAATGTGTGTGCATGAGTGTGTGTTATGGGGCAAGGGGAGAGTGTGATGTGTGTATGAGTGTGTGAATGTGTGTATGCATGAGTGTGTATGTGATGGGACAGGAGTGTTGTGTGTGTGAGTATGCATGTGTGTGTGCATGAATGTGTGTGATGGGGCAGGGGGAATGTGTGTGCATGTGTGTGTGCATGAGCGTGTGTATGTGTAACTGAGCGTGCACGTGTGCATGCATGAGTGTGTGATGGGGCAGGGGGAGTGTGTGTGAGTGTGCATGTGTATGAATGTGTGTGATGGGGCAGGGGGAGTGTGTGATATGTGGGTGAATGTGCCCGTGTGTGTGTGTATGTGATGGGGCAGGGGGAGTGTGTGTGCATGTGTGAGTGTGCCCGTGTGTGTGTGTGTGTGTGTGTGTGTGTGATGGGGCAGGGGGAGAGGCCTTCCTAGGCGCAGGGAAGTGCTCAGGGCTGTGTCTCCTCTGTGTTGCTGGTTCACCCTCTACTGTTCAAAAATCAGGCTGAAAAATAAAGATGTTTATTATGACCCAATTTTATTTTTAAAAAGTGCACACATACATGAGTATTTTTGAGAGGAGAAGAAAATGCCTCTGAATGTTCATTTTGGGATTCCTGAGAATTTGGATTTTATTCTTTATGCTTTTCTGCATTTTCCAAATTTCTACAACGGACACGGATTACTGGGGAAAAGACGTTTTACATTACAAGTTACATAGGATCGTAGACAGTTTGGGAAATAATCATTCTAGATTCCCCCTCTTAACTGTACCCCGGCACACAGATACAAGCGTGTTCCCGGCACACGCAAACACACACATGGGCGTGCGGACCGCTGGGGTGCCGCCTGCCCTGCCGTTGTCCACCCTGGCTCTAGCCCCGGCCCCCTCCTCAAGGATGGTGCTGAGGCCTTGCTGTGGCTCTCCACGTCCTCCACGGATGGCAGCTAGGCCTGGAAGCTACCTGGGGCAGGGCCTGGGCACCTGGGCTTCCCCAGCTAGGACAGGTCCCTCCTGGCTGGACCAGGGCCCTGGAAAACAGTTGGCCACACAGCTGGAGCCCAGCCTTCCCTGGCAAGTGCTTGGCTCCTGGGCCTCAGCCTGGCTTCCAGGGCCAGCTGGCCAGGACTGGGGAACAGGAGGGTCACGGTGCTGTGCTTCTAACCCTGGGGATCCTAGGGATTGGAGAGAGGGGCGTGGGCGACAGCCTAGGAGGTGAGGGGGCTTGTAGTCTAGCGGCCCAGACAGCCCACACACCCCATGCCGCGGGAGGGAGGGGGGGTGGAGACTTCGTGGAGAAAGGAAACAGGGTTGATGGTTTTGGCCACAGGAAAGGAAACAGGGTTGATGGTTTTGGTCCCTTCTCTTCCAGCTCCTTGCCTGCCCGGTGGAGCCAGAGACTGGAAAAGCTTGTCTCTGGCCAGAGCTTTGGGGGCTGGCGGGAGTCCCGTGTTAACCCTCTCTGTGCTGGGGCAGAGATGGCCCATCAGGATGTGGGGAGGGCTGGGCAGGGAGAGGGGGAGCTTTTTATCACAGGAGGGTGAGGGGAAAGGAGAGACTTCCAGGGACAGTGAACATTGGTTCGTCCACTCATTCACTCATCACTCATTCACCGAGTGGGTATTTGACACCTCTGTATGCAGACCCTGGTTGCGGGTGCCAGGCAGACACTCATTGGCAGGAGAGCCATGGTTTCTGCACTGGGGCCTCTGTTCTGGGGGGTGGTGGGCTCCAGTCAAGTACTATTCAAATGGATGATAAAAAGGCAGCTGTTCAGGGTGCTGGGTGTGAAGGTTACGGTCCCCAGGAGAGCAGATAATAAGGCAGCTGATCTTGTGGGGATGGTCAGCGGAAGCTCCCTGGAGTTAGATGAGGTGGGTGGGGAGAGGAGTTCTGGGAGAAGCAGCAAAGTCCAGTGTGGGGAGTGGGGCAGAGTGTGGGGCTCTGGGGTGCTGGCTGTGCCGGCCTTCCAGGAAGGATCCTGCTCTCTGTTTTATGCACATCGGGATGCGGTTATATGATCAGACTTGTGGTTTGGAAAGTTCGCTCTGGTGGCCGTGTGTGCTTGCATATGCGCACACATACACGTGTACATCCTTGCTTGCACCCCCTCCTGGCCCCAAACTTCCCAGAAAATTGCCTCGTCAGCTTTTCTGAGGTTCACAGAAACCCAGGAGCTGCTGATGCTGTGCTGTTCCAGGGGAAGGACGCTGGTGTGAGGGTCCTGGCTCCTGGCTGGGCCCTGTCAGGAGATTCTGGTGGAGCTGGGGGGGGGGGGGGGGGGGGGGGGGGGGGGGGGGGTGCCCATGGTTCCAGTCTTGGTTCACTGAGAAAGAGGGGGCCACAGTGCCTCCCCCGTTCTGGCTGGCCGCCTAGCTGGGCCTCTTCCTGGCTGGCCCACAGCCTCGGGGCTGGTCTAGCCACTCCAGATGGCAGTCTTTGGACATGAGACCCACAGAGGCACTCCTGGGCTGGTGCCGGGGACTTCCTTCGTGGGTGCTTAGAGGTGAGCTGAGGAGATTAGCTGGGCCGTCCCGGGGGGATTTCGATTTCCTTGGGGTTGTGTTTGCCCAGAGGGAATTTTCTGCCCTGCCCAATGAGGGCAGGAGGTGAGCCGGTCAGGGGCTCTGCCACACAGCTCTAAGGTGTGCAGGAGCAGACCATGGGCCCAATGCCTGGCCGTTGGCCATCTGTGCCATGAGCTGCGGGCTCGGGGTGGGCCGGGCCTCAGGAATCTTTGGGAACCAAACTCCCAGGTTCTATAAAGTCCCCCTTCATCTTGGCAAGCTGTGTCGTTCTGAGGCACCCCTACCCGAGGGCGGACCCTTCCCCTCAACAGAGCCTCAAGTAGCCTCCCTGTCCCAAGAAACTGGCTTTCCAGGTGAAGACCCAGGATGGGTCCCAAGTATTCTGCAGCTAGCGTGAGCCACCATCTGGCCCGGAGTAATCGTCAGATCTGGCTTCGAGCCCCTGAAGGATGGAATGGATGACCTTCGGTGAGGTCAGGGCCTCTGTGTCCCCATCTGTAACAGGACAATAACAGGGCCCACTGGCAAGGAGGGAGGAGGGGACAGGTGGCCTGCTGGGAGACACTGGGGAAGAATGTAGGGTCATCAGCAGCTGCTGTTGTCTTTAAGGGGGCCCAGACTAGGGTAGGGTGAGTGAGGTCCACGCTTGGGAATGAGAAACAGCATTGCAATGTGCCCTATCAAGGCTCTGCTCCTTTTTAAAAGGAAAAAAAATCACAATACTGATCCCACCTTTATTGAAAAGTTTGATATTTTCTTCATCATGGATTTTTTTAAAAAATTAATTTTGGTTTTTAAAACATCATTGCTGTAAATTCTTATTTATCTTGGTTACTGAGTTTTTTCATGTCCCCTTAATTTTTATGCCCAAGGCAAGCGCCCTGTTCACCTTACTCTGGGCCTTACTCTGGGCCCAGTAGAGCAAGGCTGATTGAGCCCCTTGCTCTACCCCACGCTGAAGGCTTTATCAGCAGCTGCTTGCCTTGCAGAGTAGGGGATGATGGCTGAAGTGGGAACCCAGGGCCCATGATAGAGGTGGGTGGTGACATGGTAGGACTGTCAGGGTGGCTCATTCCTCAGGTGGGCTCAGGCCAGGCCCCAGGTGAAGGCCAGTGTTATGGGCTGTGGGTCTTGGCTGGGTTCCAGTTGGGGAGATGGGCTCAGGCTAGGGGCCTTGCAGATGATGGGAGGGGGAAGGAAGCAGGGAATCCCTCGGCCTACCCCAGCCACTTGCTCCACATTTGCCTTTCTGTTCCTGCTTCTCCAGTGGGTTCCTGAGCTCATTCATTTCCTGAACACTCAACCCCTGTGCTATAGGCCCCCCGGGCATATGGAGGAGCTTCTTGCAACCCAGCCCTTGCCCTCAGGGAGCTTGCAGTCCAGCCAGAGAGAGACACAGTATATTAAAGCCCCTGGGAATGGCTATGAAGGAGGGTCCAAGGGTGGGTGCCAATTTAGTCTGCCTGGGGGAGTCAGGAGGGCTCCCTCGGAAGGTGGCCTCTGAGCTGAGCTCTGAAGGGCAAGTGGGCTTTGATGTTCACGTCCATGCGGGATTTTTCCCAGAGCTTGTTTGGGTTGTCCTCAGCCACTGAGCTGGGCTAGAGTGGAGGCGATGAGCATGGGAGAGGGCTAGGAGGTAAAGTCGGAGGGTACCCCTGGAAGGAGGCTGCACCCCTCAAAGCTAATAGGCTTGGTTTGACCACATGTGGGCATGGGGTAGGGGAGGTGGGAGGCAGAAAGGACTCCCCACACATGGCCCTGCTGTCAGGACTTGGGGTGTGGGGCCTGAGGATGGAGGTGGTGCATGCCCCCGGGTCCTCCTGGCCTGGCTGCAGGGGCAGCTGGGCAGGGCCCTCTCAGGCCCCCACTGACTGTGCCTTCTCTTTCCAGATCCTAGGCGCGGTGATCCTGGGTTTCGGGGTGTGGATCCTGGCTGACAAGAGCAGTTTCATCTCTGTGCTACGTAAGGGCCCCTCCAATCTCCCTGCCCGGCTGGCTCTGGAGCGGTGGGACCAGGGCAACGGGCAGGGCTGCTCCACAAGAACTTGAACCTCACAGCAGGTCACTTTTCAGCTGCCCTCAGGGCCTCACCCAGGTCCTGCGCTGACTGCTCTGCCCTGGGCCCCCTCTGCAGAGGTTTTCGGGAGGAATTTTCCCTTCCTCCCCACACAAAGCTGCTGTTGTCTGGAGAACGCTGGGGGTTGAGGGAGGCTTGCTCTCCCAGCCTGGCCCCTTTCCCTCAGCCCTAACCTCGAGAAAGCCTCTTACAGTCTCTGTCCCTCCATTTGCGAGCTCAGCAAGATGTGGGCCACAGTCCGGCCCCGGTCAGTTCAGAGAAATGTAGGAAAGGGCGGGAAAGACAGGTCGTCAGGAGTCAATGACGTGCCCACTGTGTGCCCAGTGCTGGCTAGATTCGTCGGGCCTCTGGACTGCAGAGGAAGCCACCGGCGCAGCATCCGTGGTCTGTGCTCATTGTGAGGCAGGCACGGGGCCAAGCATTTTGCACGTGAAAATTGCCTTAATCCCTCGATAGCCCTGTGAGGTAGGAACTGTTCTAGTCCTGCCTTACAGGTGAAGAAATGAGGCTCAGAGAAGTGATGTCCCTGGCTCACATTCACAGAGCTTCCAGTGATAGGTGGGAGACTTGAACCCCCAGAGCTTTGGTCCTAAATGCTGCCCGTGGTAGGGTGAACCACAGCATGCAAGCCCCTTCTCTCACCCTTGAAGCAGGAGGAAAGAAGCCCAAGGCACTCCTGCACAGATGATAAGAGCCTCTCCAGGTCTACTTGCAGCCTCCTCCAGGAAGCCTGCCAGGCTTGGCTGCACTGATCTCATGGATGCCCTGAGTGGAAGGGAGGCACAGCTGAGGGCCCCAAGTAGCACAGTGATGCCGCTCCCCTCAGTGAGTGCATCCTTGGCTCACTTCCCTCCCAGCTGCTGCTGAGGCAGCAGGTTTGGACTCAGGCCCACGACAGCTGCTTGATTTGAATAAAGCGGAACCAGGCTAGGATGGGTGATGGAGAGGCCACACCTGTCACTGTGGCCCCAGGGGGCTAGGCCTCCCCTCAGACCTGAAAGGAAGCAAGGATGATCCACCCTCCAGCCACATCCGATGCAGCCTGGGGCTGTTAGCCCTGCCTCCTGCTGGGGTGGAGGGCTGCAGAATGTTCTCCCATTCTGGGGCTAGGGTCTGCATTTCCCACCCCAGCAGGATGCCCATGCTCCCCAGGCCTTTCCAACATGGGACACATCTGCTTCCGCCCTGATTAGGCCCAGGCTTCCTGCTTCCTGGCTGTGGCCAACACCCAGCAGGTACTGCGCCAGGGGGCAAAGTCTCAAGGCCCAGCTCACCCACTGTATCTCTGTCCACTGCACCTTGCCCCAGGCCCCAGGAACCTCCTGCTCCTCCCGCCTCCTCCCTGTTCAGCTCGCAGACTCCCCGAGCCGCCAGAATGCAGAGGTGCCCTAGATGTGCCCAGAGTGTTTTCACAAATACAAAGGCCCCAGGCCCACCCCAAGGGGATCTGACTCCATTGGTGTGTGGGCAGGGGCCTCGAGCATTGTGGTTTTTAAAAAGCTCCCCAGGTGATTCCCAGGCAGCCAGGGTTCAGAAGCACTGATCTAGCAGAGGAAAAAGACTTGCTAAGAATCACACAGCAAGTGAGGGTCAGGGCTGGGACCCAGGGCTCCTGACCTACCATGTACGTTCCAGGCTGGTGTGACAGAGCTCTCCCCTCACCTGAGTCCACGGGGCGAGGTGTTGCTGTGCCCATTTCACAGTGGAGGAAACCAAAGCACAGGAGGGGAGTTAACTTGTCCCAGGAAACACAGCCAGGAGGGGGAGCTGGGATACGAACAGAGGGCATGGCTCCTGAGCCCCCATACCCTGAGCCCCTGTATTGCAGGGTTTCACACTCACCACACAGTCCTGCCTTAACCAGAGCAAGCAAGTGCCGTGGTCAGGAGCACAGACTCTGGAGCCGGGCTGCCATGGTTCGAATCATGGCTCTGCTGCCTCCTAGCTGGGTGATCATGGGCAAGTTAACTTCACTTCTCTGGGCCTCTTCATCTAGAAAATGGGGATAATAATAGAATATATCTCATGAGGTTGTTGTGAGAAATGAAATGAGTTAATATAGGAAAAGCGTTTAGAACTGCTCCTACTAACTAGTCAACCCTACAGAAGTGATGAAGTTGATAATAACATCTTGAAGTAGGATTTAGTTCCATTTCACAGAGAAGGAAATAGAGGCCCAGGCTCAGAGCTCGTTCGCAGCAGAGCTGGGATGAGAACCCCTTTCTTGTTGCCTTCGGTCCCTTTCATTTGGGGCCACTTCTACCTTGCTGGTACCTGCCAGGCCCGGCAGGACCCCGATGTTTCTGCCGTGCACAGTGGAGGGCCAGCCCAGAATGTCCACTTGTCCCCTTCCTAAGTCAGGTTGCTCAGACTGGGGCCAGCCTGAGACCCTGGGTGCACTCAGGGACTGGTGTCCACTAGATGTTCTGAGAAGCTGAGACCCCGCAGCTGGGCTGGCCTCCTGCGGGAGAAGCTGAGTTGGGGGGTCTCAGCCCTGGGTCTTGCCTGCTGGGCCCCCAGGTGGCCTCTTAGACTGCCTGGGCTTCAGGGCTCTTAGGGACAAATCAGGATGTAAATCCACCCTCATGGGCCTGTTGTGGAAATGAAGCAGATGATTCGGATAAAGGGCCTTGTTCAGGCTGGCACGCAGTGGATTCCAGACTGTGCCAAATTTCTTTTCTCTGGGAGTCGTCCCTGGGAGGAACCCAAACCCAGGAAGCTTCGAAAGAGTGGCATTGGATGGCTTCCTCCTGGCTATGCTGGTTGCTGAGAGCAGGGTGCTGAGGGCCTAGAATGAAAATGGGGGCTCAGTGCCAGGAGCCCCCCACACTCACCCCATCAGGTCCCCACCATGCCCGTCCAGCCTGCCTGGGGGGCTCCAGTGAGGAGCTGGGTGGAGGCAGCCCTGCCCTGGCACCCTGAGAGCAGGGTGGGCTGGCCAGGGCTCTTCCTGAGTTCAGAACATTCTGTCTGTGACCAGGAAGTTGAGCTGAATCGGGCCCTCCTATCCACCCACACTTCAGCTTTGTAGTTACTGCTTAAGGGCACTAAGGCGGCCTGGGTGGCTGGGGGCGGGGTGGTGGATCTCAGCTTCTCCCAAGCCCCCCAGGGAGCCGGCCAGCGTCCTCCCTGCTGATGGCCGCTTGTACCAGCCCTGGCCATGCCCTCCTTAGGAGAGCACATTAAAATGGCAGATTCCAGGTGGTCTCCCAGGAAAGTCTGTCCAGTTGTGACGGACCCAGGAATCTACATCCCTAAGAGGTTCCCCTGATCCGCTAATGCACTCCAGGCTGCTCTCCAGCTTTCTGGAAACATCCTGTCTTGGCCGCCTCCCGGAGAGTGCAGGGGCTGTTGTGGGAGGAGTCTGCCGCCCATTGCCAGGGGGAGGCACATCTCCCCTGGCCCTTCCGGCAAGTGACAGCCCTGGGTAGAGGGCATCTGGAGGTGGGTGTGAGCTGTGCTCTGTTCTGGCAGGTGATGTGCTGGGCTTTTAGGGAAATGGTGGTCAAGTGCTCTGATGGAACCCCGACCTCCACCCACGGGGGGTGGGCTCTGTCCGCCCACGGCCCTGAAGAGGGTCTCTTGCCATCAGGCGCCTCTCTCTATGCCTCAAGCATATCACCTGTCAGACTCACACTGGCCCGATCTGTCTCGCCTTCTTCAAATACGTCAGGCTCGCTCCTTCCTCCTTGCTGTTCCCCGCTGCCGGGAATGGCTTCCCCTCACAGATCTTCCCTGGGCTGCTTCTCCATTCTTGTCTCAATGTCAGGCTCAGGCTCAGGTGTCATCTGCTCAGACCAGGCTTCCCCAACCCCCCAACCCATTCGCCACCCCATGGTCGTCTATTGGAGCCAGCCACAGTGTCCCCGTGACTCTCTCCATGACCAGGGCGTCTGGTCATTGTGTGCTGTGTGTTATTGTCCCCACGCCCCACCGCACTGAATGGCAGCTCCTTGCTGTGGGGACCTCAGCAGCCCGACTCCTGTCTCCCTGGCAGCCAGCACAGCGTCTGGTCGGGGCTGACCCCCGAGCTCTGACTCCAGGGGGAGCAGTGCTAGACCTCTGGGCCTTACCCCTGATGGTGTGCTTAACAAGGGTGAGACAGCTGGGCCGAACTAAACGCCATTCTTTCCATCCCCAGAGACCTCCTCCAGCTCGCTCAAGGTGGGGGCCTGCATCTTCGTCGGAGTGGGCGCTGTTACCATGTTCATGGGCTTCCTGGGCTGCATTGGTGCCATCAAGGAGGTCCGCTGCCTTCTGGGGCTGGTGAGTGCCGCTGTCCAGCCGGGTGGGGCCTGCGCGCCCCCCTGGTCCCGACCGTGGGAGCTCGTGCAGAGGTGAGCGGGGTGGGGTCACCCGGGGCGGGGCGGGGGGCGGCTTGCGGCTGACTCCATGCTGCTCTGTGTCCCCAGTACTTTGCCTTCCTCCTCCTGATCCTCATCGTCCAGGTGGCCGCGGGAGCCCTCTTCTATTTCAACATGGGCAAGGTAAGCACCCTCCTGGCCCCCGGCTGGGCTGGGCTGGGCTGGCCCTGCAGGGCGATTGGCCCTGGGGGTAGGGGAGAGACCAGGGGCCTCTCAGCTGTCAGAGACAAACCCAGGAGGTGCCTGGCAGCCTTCTGGGCCTCTGGTCCCTGTGATCTCCTAGCGAGATGTGAGGGGCGGGGGGTGGGGTGGCATCTTGGGCAGAGTCGCCGTGGGCCTGAACACAGCTCTACCCCAGCACCTTGTAGCTGTGGGGTGGTGGGCAAGCCGCTTGCCTCTCTGGGCCTGTCTCACCTTCTGCAAATGGAGGACAATAATAAATTTAACTTCCAAGGTTCTGGCGAGGATTCAGTGAGATTATCTTAGTAAAACACAGCACAGTGCTTGGCATGGTGAGCGCCCAATAAATGTTGTTCTTCTTGTTTTTATTCAAGCGCCTCAGCAAGTACTAAATCCATGCCACTCATCTGCAGATGAGACCCAGGGAAGAGACTGTCAATAAAAAAAAATTAGTTTTGCATCACAGAGAAGGCCCTTAGCTTTAAGGAATAGAAAAACCAGGCTGACTGTGGCTTAAATTCTAAAGATATTGCTGTTGATTAACCAGAAGTCCGGGCTGGAATCAGAGACCGTGCTTCTGGCTGGCTGTTCAGCATCCTCCTCATGCCACTCACTGTATCACATCACTCACCTCATGGTCACAAGATGGCCGCCACAGCACCATCCGTGCTGCTGTAGCCAGAAGAAAGGGACACAGGCAGTGCCAGCGCCGGCCATCCCTTCGATCAGAAAAGCAAGTCCTCCAACAGTCTTCCTCAGACTGGGTCACAAAGGCACCCATGGCTTCAAGGGGACTCTAGAAGACACAGGCACAAGGGAGAAGGGAAGCCAGGAATAGCTGTTGGGTGAGCCAGTCGACTGTGACTGTCAAAGTTAGCACTTATGGAGCACCTACTATGTGCACACAGTATCTTCTAGAAGCTTTACACTCATCATCTCATCCTTTCGGCAGCCATGCGCTGTGTTCCGTTGACAGACAGGGAGACAGGTGTTCGGAGCGGTGTAGGACAATACCATCAGTAATACAGGAACTAGAACCCCTGGCATCCCTGTGGTTGGGTCAGCACACACCGTGTACTACTGGGTACAATGCTGGCCACTTTACTTTCATTCTTTCACTGATGCTCCCCATGCCTTCCCTCTCAGGGTAGTGTGAGAATCCCCATCGACGGGTGAGGGATGAGGGCACCACCCAGCCAGCCAGTGGCCGGGCCAGGTGAGGGCCCAGAGCTCAGCCCAGACCCACTGCACATGGCCCTTGACCCGGATGTCCTCAGGGCCCCCCGCCCTCCTCCAGTGCTACAGTTCTTATCCAACTAGGGAGACAGCTGGTGGCTAGTGGGCTCCTGCATTTCACCACTCTAAGGTCCAGTTGCCTCATATCACTCTGAAAAGGAAGGTGAGAAGACATTACACCGACATCAACAACTAACACTTCGTGGAGCCTAGAACAAGCCCCCCACCCACTGTGGCGTACAGACTGTGCTCACTTAGTTTTTCCTCACTGGGATCCTTCAGGGTCATGGGTGTGATACCCTCATTTTCAGATGTGGAAGCCGAAGCATAGAAATGAGGCACCTTGACCAAAGGTCACACAGCTAGTAAGTGGCAGAGTGAGGATTTGAACCCGGGCAGCCCCAGGTTCATACTGGTGCAATTTCCATTGCAGTGGTTCCTACCCGAGTCTGCTTTACTTCTTTATAATCCACACCCAGCCTGTTCCCCAGGAGAAGTGGAGCTGAGTTCCAACACAGGCACAGGGTAACTAAAATCAAAACAAGAGAGATTGGAACACACACGGGAAGAGGAAAAGCAATGTCCCTGAAGCCAGGGCACTAGATAATGGTAGCTGAGGCCTAACTTGAATGCTGAGCTTCCTGGCAGCCAAGGCAAAAGGGGAAAGTGTGGTTTCAGTAGATGAAAGGAAGCTCGCTTGGCCAACAGACAGGAAGGCAGTGTTTAAAGGAGGGAAACTCTTTTCCCAGTGAAAGGGTTGTGAGATCCGGTCTTTATTTCTGCCCTGTGGCACCTGGGGCTTCTCTGGGACCCAGTCAGTGGCACATTATAATCAGGGTAGATAAGAACTGGGCCCTGGTGAGCTGGTTTCCATGACTCAGAAGCCAGCCGACTCTGCAGGGGTCTTGGGCCGTCCACCTTCTCCCCTTCTGAGTTTCCCCATCACAGTAGTAAAGACGGCGCCCATCTATTGGATGCCAACCACGTGCCAGGAGCTGAGCTAGTAACTTGATACACATTTCAGTTTTACAAGCATTTTCCAGTTTAAGAAACTGAGGCCGGGAACAGCAAGACGACTTCTGGCCACAGCCACACATAGCTCGGAGGCGCCAGAGCGGAGAATTCCACCCCGATCCCTCTGACCCAAGGCCCATGTCTCCCTCTCCAGCATGCTGCCTCCCTGCGGGCTGGTATAGTCCCGGCTTGGCCCACGACCAGCAGCTATGCCTCAGAGGCGTCCCACGGCCCCAGAGCAAGGCTTGTTCGGAGAATCAGGACTCCTGACTCCAGAGTCCAGACTCTGTCCTACCCCACGATTCCTTCCTCTGTGCCCTGCTCCCCCGCCCCACCAGCCTCTGTACCTCATGCCCTCTGGCCCCAGCCCACCTGTCCTGCAAGTGGAGGGACATTTCCTGGCTCTGCTGGGAAGCTTCTGGCAGCACTCTTTCGCCCGAGTGAGAATGAATGATTTATTTTTTCTTTCCCAGCACATTGTAAATCCCGGTGGAAGACTAAACATGTTCTTGATGATGTTTATTCCTGCAGATGAGGCCCAGCTGGGGAGCTGGGCCTTGTTGAGCCTGAAGGAAAAGGCCTTCTAAAGGCAATGGGCTGTCCTTTCCCTCACTCTCCAGGCCTCCTGGACAGGTGGGAGGGACTGAGCCATTGGGGTTCCCCCCCCCGTTCCCCCTCACCCGCCCGAAGTGGTCTCTGGGGATGCCATTGGTCCCTCGGCCCGAGTTCCCAGCAGCCCCTGTTCCCGGGGCAGCCACAGGGGAGGCTGGGGTCCTTGGGCAAGGCACATGGCTTCTCAAGCCCTAGGTTCTGCGTCTATAAGTTAAGGGGAAAGCTGCTGGGCCCCCACTCCCACCCAGGGTTGAAGTGAGCACAGACCTCAACGCTTTTATAAGATAGAATGGTGGCCAAGGCCTCAACTCCGGAACCAAACTGCCTGTGTTGGAATCGCTGCTCTGAGGCCCTCGGCAAGTCACTCAGCCTCTCTCTACTCCACTCGCCTCACCGGTCAAACAGCGGTCATCATACAGGTCCACTCCCCTTAGCAGCAGTTCTGAAATCCAAGAGCCACTTTGGAAAAGCAAAAATGCCCTTCACAGCTCATTCGGTGGCAAAATCAAACCCAAACAGAAGCCAGGCTATTTATGGCCTCTGTGAACCCCATTTCGGGGGCCCTCAGGAATTACGAATGGGAGAGAGAGAGCAGGGTGTGACCCAGACCCCGATCCCTTTCTGAAATTGGAACATTGCTCAGCGCCAGAGCACACGGGCCCCAAGGCTGTCTTGTAGCGCTGGGCTGTGGATTTAAGAGCGTCGCCCATGGGAAGGGCCTTTGCTGGCATCATTGCAAGGGTTCACTATGACGGTCACCATCGTTAACTCCGTTAATGCTTAGGGAGGGCTCAGGAAATGGCAGCCGTTCGTATCGTCGTTGGTGTTAAACCAGTATTAGCAAGAGTCGTGGGGGCCAGGATTTGGGAGTGGAGATTCCTCTGGCTCTTTCCTCATCTGACCATGTAGCCAGCCCCTGTTCAGCGGGCACGGCCCGAGTCTGGGCTGTGTTCTAGGGTGGGCTTTGCCTCTGGTTGCTCCATGGGCTTGGACAACTTGCCCTGCCTCTTGGAGTCTCAGCTGACCTCTAGGGCCTTTCCCAGCTCTGACGCTCTGGGATTCTGGCTTGTTCTCTCCAAGCAGTGGAGAGTGGGAGAGGGTCAGGAGGAAGGACGCGAACACACTATCTGCTGGGATGTGCTGGGCCTTGGCGCACTCACGCAGGCCCCACTGCTCACCCGCCCAACAGCCCACACCGGTGAGGCTGCTGAGGCTTTGGTGGATTACGTCAGGGGGTTGAGCAGAAGGCCTGCGGCCTGAGAGCTTGGAGGGTAAGGGGCTTGAGTGGGCTGGGTGGGCACTGGGGGCTGGGGGTGGTGACAGTGGCCCAGCCACGCTGCTGTGTGCCGCCCCAGGGAGGCTGGTCAGGAGCGCCGTGATGCCCTTCCCCCTCTTGCCCTTTCCTACCTAAGAAGCTCACAAGAGCCAGCGTACGGGTGGTAAGACAGGTTCCCCGAGGACAGTGCCATTCTGTGAGATGCCTGCCCCCTGTGATGGAAACTTCCTGATCCCCTGGCCTGGGTTGCTACCAGCCTTGGGGGTGGGCAGCTGGAGCCAGGACAGAGAGAAGTGACCTTTGTCTTCCCTTTTGGGAAGAAGAAGAAGTGTCCAGGCAGTCCTTCAGGAAGGGGGTCATGAAGAGCAGTGGGATGGAGATGCGATTCTTTTTTTTTAAAGATTTTATTTACTTATTCGAGAGAGAGCACTCACACTAGCACAAGCAGGGGGAGCCGTAGAGGGTGAGGTAGGAGCAGGCTCCCTGCTGAGCAGGGAGCAGCCTGGGGCTCCATCCCAAGACTCCGGGATCATGACCTGAGTCAAAGGCAGACACTTTACCAACTGAGCCACCCAGGAGCCCTGGGATTAAGATTCTTAAGGTGCCGGTGCCTGCCTGGCTCCATGGCTCTGTGGCTCCAGGGCGGCAGAGGGTGGTGCCTGACTCAGACCCCGCCCTCAAGGAACTTACTGGAGCCTGGGGAGTTCTGGGGCAGCCGGTTACGTACTTTGCAGTCGGCTTTCAGGAAAGAACTCAGGTGGTGCCCAGGAGTAAACACACCATGCCCTCTGCATCCACCATTGCCAAGGGCCCTCATTTCCTATCGGGATCCCCGGCTGAAGCCTCAGACCCGTTGTATCTGAATTCTGGCAAAGCACTTGGCAACATATCCTGTGAGAACCCGGGGAGAGGACAGGAAGATGTGGGTCCGTTTCATTGCGGGGGCGGGGGGGGCATCCCGTTCTCGAGGGCGATTTGATGCCTTAGAATAAAGAGCCCGGAGAGAGGTCTGGACACCATCCAAAGGAGTGTTCGGAGGAGCCAGAGAGGAGGGGGAGAAGGGAGAAGGGCTGGAATATCCAAATGGTTTGTCCTGGGAGAGTGATCTGATTTGTCCTGCACGGTCCCATCAGAGACTTGGGAGGGAGCGGGGAGGAGAACTCGAGCTAATGGGCAGAAGTCACTTGAGCTCCACTTAAAATGAATTGCTTATATCGAGAGCCTCCCCGCCCCTGCAATGTGCCATTCCGTGGGGTGCTGAGCTCCCCATACAGGGAGCATATAAGCAGAGCCCGGGAAAATCTGGGAAGGGCCCTTACATTTGGATGATATGCTAGATTCAGAGGTCTCTTCTAATCCTGCCTCTCTCTGAAAAGTCGCACTGCAAGGTGAAATGAAAGCACAGCGTCGTGGTAGTGGGGAGCCGCCCCGGAGGACAGTGGGATCTGGGGTCGGGGGGAGACAGTGGGTGATTGGCTGTGGTTGAGATCGCAGGCTTCTGGGACTGCACGCATCAGGGTTACAAGTCCTGTCTCTGCTGCCTGCTAGCTGTGTGATCTTGGCAAGTCGTGCCGACGCTCTGAACCCGTTTTCTCTTCTGGGAAATGGGGAAGATGGGACCCGGCAGCGCTCCAGGGCTGGGCCCCTAGGCGTGTGACCCCAGCAGTTACACAGGACCCTCCACTTCAAAGGTCTGTGCTTGGATTCTTGGACACTCAGCTGGATCCACATTTCCAAAGGCTGCCCCGGGGTCCCTGTCCCTCTCCGTTCCTTGCTCCTGCTCTCCTCCGTTGGCTCCCTTCTCAGGCGGGCAATCCCCAGTGGAGCCTGAGGCGGCCACCAGCAGCACAGGCCCTCATCCTGGCCGGATGAGCGGAAAGAGAAGGTTACCTTGGGTGACATGCCCAGGGTGGGGAAGGCGCCCAGCGACAGCGTAGGACTTGCCCGAGGCAGTGAGGGGGCAGGGCTTCCCAGGCTCCTGGAGGGATTGAGGGGTGGTTACCCCTAAGGAAAGGAAGTGCTGTTCCAAGGACGGAGACTCCCGGCCCACAGAGCAGGCAGAAACCACAGAGGTGGCCCCTGCAGGGATGAAGTGAGAGTGGGCATCTTCCCCCTTCCCCTCCCTGCTCTTTCTTATTTCAGGAACTACCTGGTTGTCAGGGTGACCTCCCTGAGCTCCCAGCAGGGCTTCCTGGGCATGGGGATCCCAAGGGATCAGCTCCGAGTGGAACCAGCCCCTGCCGCTGTGGTCCCTGTGGCCCTGGCTAGGTCTCTCAGCTACAGTCTGGGCTGCAGGGTGATGTGGTGTTTCCATGGAAACCACCCAGCCTCAGTGGAAACCCCCGGCTTCCATCACTTTTTTCATTTCAGGGGGCCTGAAATAGGGAAGTCTGGGCTGCTGTGGCAACCACGCTGGGGTATAAATAGAGACTAGGTCTGTGGCGGGGGGTGGGGGGGGGGGGGGGGGGGGGGGGGGGGGGCAGGTAGGACAGCTGTGGGAGAGGTGGCTCTCCATGCAAATGCCTCTGGGGACGCCCCCCTCCTTTCCACGCCTCGGGGATCATCCACCCACTGGGGAGAAGGGGTGGAGCGGAGATGGTCAGAGCAGAGAGACCCAAGACCCACGGGAGCCAGCACCAGCTGTATGACAGGGGCCAGGCACTTAGCGTCTCCGGGCCTTCCTTATCACCGCTCTGACCGCCTTCAAGCCATGGCCATGTGGTTCCAGTGCTGATAGAGCTTCATGGGTCAAAACTTGGGTTCTGGGTCCAAATCCCAGCTCTTCACATGTCGGCTGTGTGACCTTGGCCAACTTAGTCAACCTCTCTGGGCCTCGTTTTCTGCATCTCTTAAATGAGGGAACGAGGTAAATCCCTAGGCCCTAGGTCTGCTCTGAGGATTAAAATGAATTAATGCATGAAGAAAAGTGCTTAGCACGGCTGGTACATAACAAGTGTTTGATAAAACTTAGCCACTGTTACTGCGATTAATTGCCCGTAGGAAAGCTTTGTAAATCGTAAAGCTCTGTGTGAGTAAAACGAAGTGTACTGCGCTAGGGGTTCTGTCAAGAGGGAGGGGGGCAGCGGGCAGTCCTGGGGAGTGGGGCTGGTTTCCCAGGGCCAGTGAAGGGAGGGGGCAAGGAGCCAGGGTGGCAGGTCCATCCGGAGGATGTGGGTTCTCCGAATGCTGTGTTTGTGAGCTGCCTGTGGGGAGCTGACGGAAGCCCACTCACTGCGTTGTGAGCCGGGCTCTGAAAACCCCTGCCTGGAAGTACCTGTCCTATATTCTAATACCGCTTTCTCCGGAACTGAGGGGCAGGCTTGTGGCCATCCCCTCGGTGCCCGGGCCCCTCCCCCTGGGCTTCTGTGGTGACAGCAGGTGGCTGTGACTAGCTTATTCATGCTGGCGTGCCGGGAAGGCCCCTGAACAAGGTCCACGGGAGAGGCCAGCAGGGCCAGGCTGGGTCTGGCTCTCGGGGCGGGGCCCTCGCTCCCACCTGGGGCGTGGGGCCCTGCTCTCAGTTCTCAAGGCTGGTTTCAGGTTTGCCTCTCTTTGTATAGGTGACTTGTTCCTGAAAAGCGGCTGTAGTGAGATCGTCTGTTGAGAGCCCCGCTAGGGGGACCGTTGGGGCTGAATCTTTTTGTTCCGTGCACCCCTCATCTGCCTTCTTTGTAAATCACTGTTTTCTTGGTGGGGTTAAGGAAAAGGGGGTGCTTCTCTCCCTCACCAAGGGACCCTGAATTCCCAACACAGGCAGGATTTGGATTTTGTGGGGCCGCAGGGCAGGCATGAGGATTAATCAGGAGAGTATGTGAGTACTACCCTGGTGTGGGGCGTATCGTGGTGACTCTACACCCATTCGCCATTCAGGTACACCACACGTCTACCCTGGCCAGGCTTTGCCAGGTACGGTCCTTGCTCCCGTGCATCTGACATTCTGGTGGAGGGGAGAGATAATAAATCCTGAAAACGAATGAGCGTGTAATGACCACGTTGCGAAGGAAAAGACAACATGCCCACCCTTGAGGTTGAGGAGGGCCTGCGAGGGGGTGGTGGAGGGGATAGAGAAGGGCTGTCTTCTGTAGGGTGGTCCAGGAAGGCCTTTCTGAGGAGGTGACGTTTAAACAGAGCCCTGAAGCAAGTGGACAAGTGAGCCATGTTAATATTTGGGGGAAGAGGATAACAGGTGATGGGAAGAGTAAGTGCAAAGGCCCTGAGGCAGCAGTGTGCCTAGCAGAAAGACAGCAAAGGAGACCTGTGTAATTGAAGCAGAAGCAGCAAAAACGGAGAAAATGAGGTTTGGGAAGAGCAAGGGCCAAACAATGCAGGGCCTTGTGGGCCATTGACAGGATGCTGCCATTCTCCCTGAGAGGGATGAGAGACCGCTGGAAGGTTTGCAGCAGTGACCTGCAAAGATCCACATCTAAAGGGTCCCCCCGGCGCTGAGTGCCGAATAGACTCCAGCGCAGGAGTGGTTGGCCCTGCCGGCCCCGGGCTCCGTGTGGTGGCCTGCTGGGGGGCTGACACCCTGGAAGCGCTAGGAGAGTAGTTGGCATGGACAGTGAAGTGCTCTTGAGTGTGAGCATGTCCCCGGGGTGGGGGCGGGGGAGGAGAGAGGCCGTTTAAGTAGATGTGACCAAAGGTGGGGCACGGGTTTCAGGAAATTTGATCTCGACCCTTGTTCTCCCCTCTGCAGCTAAAGCAGGAGATGGGCAACATCGTGACCGAGCTCATTCAGAACTACAAGGACGGACGTGAGGACAGACTGCAGGAGGCCTGGGACTACGTGCAGGCTCAGGTACGGCGGCGGTGGCAGGGGCGGGGTGGCGTGAGGGTCCTGGCCTCATGTGTCTGGGTCTGGGTGTCCATGTGCCTGACAGAATATGCCAGTGAGTTTGTATGTGAGTATGTATCTGTTGGGGGCGAGGGGCCTCTGAGTGGTCCCCCTGCCTGGTACCCCAGCTACCACCACAGTCCCTCACTCAGGGGGCCCAGGGTCTTGGAGGCTTCCAGGGGCTCAAAGAGCTCCAGTCTGTGGCCAGGGTGGGGGACCCTCATCTCAAGCCAGGCTGGGGAGTGTCAGGAGTCCGTCCTGGGGGTTAAGGAACTGGGTGCCAAGGCTGACATGCTGACACGAGTCTTGAGTGGAGCCTACCTCTGGGAGGGTATTGACATGGGATGTGCCCATGGGAACCTTCTGGGGTGAAAGGAGTGTTCTATCCAAATCCTGATCCCATTGGCAGTTATGCCAGTATATGTGTAAAAATTCATCAAGCTGTGCACTTTAGTGTATGTGTTTTCCACCTCCGTCCAAGTGAGAGAGACAGACTGAGCGAGTGAATGATGGAATGACTGAAGGACAGATTAAATGACTGAATGAATGCATGAATGAATGAATGACTAACTGGCAGACAAAATGGCTGGCTAACTGACTGACTGACTGAATGAATGATGGACTAACTGGCAGACAGAATGACTGGCTGACTGACTGAATGAATGAATGATGCACTGGCAGACAGAATGACTGACTGATGGAATGAATGAATGAATGACAGACTAACTGAATGGATGAATGACTTTATGAATGAATGACAGAATGACTGACAGACTGACTGAATGAATGCATGAATGATGGACTGGCTGGCAGACAGACTGAATGAATGAATGATGGAATGACTGACAGAATGACTGGCTGGCTGGCTGACTGACAGACAGAATAACTGCCTGGCCCACTGGGTTCCCAGCCCTCCCTGATGGTGAACCAGTCACCAAACACACACGGACCCTGGGGATCAGGTCCCAGGTGCTGTGTGCCCCTGGCTGGGACCCAGCATCTCTGGGCTGCAGCGTCCTCCTGTCTCCCATGGGGCGCCGGCCACACTGGTCCCCGGAGCCTGCCTGTAGCACTGCCTGCTGCCTGGTGGAGGGCTGTGGGGTGCGAGGGGCAGGGGTGGAGGCAGTGGGAGGACTCCATGGCACCAGGAGAGCAGGGTGTCTGGAGATGGGACTGTCCAGACCACACAGGCGCATCCATTTTCTGGGCCGTGAAGAGAGGACGGCAGTGTTTTGTGCCTCCCAATTTTTGGTGAGGACCAGCTGGGGCCATGTTGGGGGGCCTGTGTCGGCTGGGGGGCTCAGTGCACACGGGAAGATGTTTTCCTCCACATTCAGTTTGACCCACAGATGCTGAGGTTCGGGGGACGCTCATGTCCCAGGATGAACACGTGCCCCCTTCAAGGAGCCTGGGGAGAGCTGGGTCTCTTGAGGGATGGTGCGCACCCTACCATGGGAAGCAGTTGACTGGTTCGGGGATTTCTGCCGCAGGCAAGGTCTCTAGATCATTCTGATGTCTGTCCGATGCTGCTTGGCATGGTGGTTAAGAAAGCTGACTGAGTCAGGCCCCTGAGGGCAGGAATACCAACTCTGCCACTTCCTGAGCTGGTTTCCTCATCTAGAAAATGGGGCGATGGATCCGTGCTCGTGTGAGAGGGGTTTATGAAGCCCGTGGCACTTACGCAGAGCTTAGGTGGCATGTTGCTGATGAGGGTTGATTAGTCACGCAGAACCACTGAGACGCAGGGCAGGTGGTGGCTGGGGACAGAGCTTGGCACGAGGCAGGGTCGGGGGCTCTGCCTGGTGTGGTAGCGGGGGCCAAGGAGAGCTGTCTCCTTCTGTTGAGTGTGTGAGGGTCGGGCGGGGGGGGGGGGGGGGTGCCCCTCCGCGGGGCCAGCCTCCCTGCCAGAGGAGGCAGCCGAGTATCTGCATGAGCGGGGAACGGAGGGAGGGAACCTACCCCAGCAGCTGCCTGGAGCCCAAGAAAGCCTGAGCATGCTTGGCTCGCCCCCTGCTGGTCACCAGGCTGCTGGTCAGGGACCGGCCACTCGGAGACCGGAGACTGGAGGGAAGCAGGTGGGGGACCCACACACCCAGCGCAGGGGCACCCAGCCAGTCCACTTAATCCTCCCAGGGACGCTGGCAGAGTGGCTCTTGTCATCCCATTCTCCGCATGAGGAAGCCAGGGCTGGCGGCTTGCCCAGGCCCAGGGTGTGTGCCTGTTGTTCCCCGATGCAGTTCCACCTTCCCCTGGGCCTTTGGAGCACAGGCTTAGCCCCTCAGATCCGAGTCCCGTCAGGGATTCGGGCCAGATGTGATCCACAGCCCCTCAGGGTCCCCTTCGCGAGCCCCATGGACGTGCCTTCTAGCACAGGGAGCCTAGAAGGGCCTTCTTCCCCTCTGGAGCAGGAACATTTTCTCTTCCAAAAGGCAGAATTGACCGTATCTCCTTTTTCGCCTTGGCAACCGGGAAGCTCAGAGCCAAATCGCAACTCCAACATGTACACAGCACCTAAAAGTGGAGCTGGCCTTCCCCCAGCAGCCCCTGTGCTGTCCAGATCGGGGCCGGATGCTCGGCCTGCCTCAGTCCGGGGAGTCCCCCTAACAGCCCTTTGAGTCAGGAACCTTGGTCACACCATTGGCAGATGAGGAGACTGAGGAAAGCACTTTAGCCAAAGTTAAGCCACTGGTAAGTGGCAAAGCTGGGATTTGAACCCAGTAGCCGGACTCTAGACCGCCCCCCCAACACTTTTTTTTTTAATTATCATTTTTTTTTAAGCGGGCTCCCCATCCAGCGCGGGGCTTGAACGCACAACCCAGTGATCAAGAGTTGCGTGCTCCGCGGACCGAGCCCGCCCGGCGCCCTTAGACCCCACACTCTTAACTGGATGTTGCTTGCCCTTCTTGCGCCCTACTCATCTGTGCTCTTTCTACTTGAGTGTCCCTCCTGTGCTGCTTTATATTTTTACTGCTCCTGATTTTTGGTCCCTTGCTGTTTTAATATTTATGCTATGTGTTCCCTGAAAGCCCCTTTAAATTCCCCGCGGCTCCCAGAAGCCAAGGTGAAACGTAAACTCTCATCCTGGCGGTCTGGGTGGGCCGCGGGGGGCCTGAAAGTGGCCGATCCGAGCCTGCGTCCGGGGAGACGCCACCTCCACGCGGAGGGTGGCCCACCCGAGGGCAGTGGGCACGACAGCTGGTCTGCTGGCAGGTGAAGTGCTGCGGCTGGGTCAGCTTCTACAACTGGACGGACAATGCGGAGCTCAGGAACCGCACCAATATCACCTACCCCTGCTCCTGTGAGGACAGGAAGGAGGCGGACGATGGCTTCCCGGTGAGGAAGGGCTTCTGTGAGGCTTTGGACAGCAACAGCACCGAGAGCGGGAACCACCCCGAGTCCTGGCCCGTGTACCGCGAGGTGTGTGCAAGGCTGTGGGGCCGGGGCTGGGCTTGGGCCACTCTGGGGTTCGGGTTCCCAGGCCACTCAGGCTTGCCTGGGCTGCTCCTTACCTCCCACTTCTTCCCCCCCCCCCCCCCCCCCCCCTCCCCCCCCCCCCCCCTCCTTTCCCTCCTTCCTTCCCTCCCTCCCTCCCTCCCTCCCTCCTTCCTGCTCCACTCCCTTCCTTCACTTAGCTGTTCCTGCGACTCATCTATTTGCTTGTCATTTGTACCTACATCAACATATTCATTCATTTATGCAGTCAGGGAACACGCAGACCGCGCTCTGCAGGCCCTCTGGGCCGGGGCAGGGTGGGGGGCCCTCCCGGTGATTCTACACGGTGGGGTGAGGCGGCATGGCGTGGGGTTTCGTGACCGTGATCTCCCCTTGTAGGGCTGCATGAAGAAGGTGCAGGCTTGGCTGCAGGAGAACGTGGGCATCATCCTAGGCGTGTGTGTGGGCGTCGCTGTCACTGAGGTCTGAACCCCTCCCCCTCCAGCAGCACTCCCCCCCCCCCCCCCCCCCCCCCCCCCCCCCCCCCCGCAGGAGGCCCGGCCTGACCACTGTCCCTCCCTGGGCCCCTCTGCCGCTGGAGCCACAGGCTGGTCACGAGCCTTTAGTTGTGGATCTGTTTCATCCCGCTCAACCCCTGTGACCCTCGCTGACCTGGACAGTGAGATGCTGCCCTGGGGCCTCGGGGGGAGCCGGGCGGCCATGCCTCCCTCTGACTCTTGCCCTCTGCCCCGACAGCTCCTGGGGATGCTCCTGTCCATCTGCTTGTGCCGGCACGTCCATTCTGAAGACTACAGCAAGGTCCCCAAGTACTGAGGCAGCTGCTGTCCCCCCCTCCCTGCCTGTCCCCCCGCCTCAGGGCTCCTCAGGTCTCCGGGCTCTGCTCCAGGCTCACCTCCCACCTCACTCCGCCGTGCTCGTCCGGTGCTGGCTGGAGGCGGGGGGCGGGGGGGCTTTCTGGGGCCTGGGCCCCTCTCCCTACCTTTGTCCCCCAGCTCCTCTCTGGCTCCTTCGCTTACCGCCCGCCGGGATTCTCTTAGCCACGCAGAGAGAATGCTCCCGTGGCGTCCCTGCACAGGTGGGCTGGGTCTCTGTCTGCCTTGGAGCTGTGTATATGGGATGGGGAAAAGTGTACTCAACATTGGGGGTGGGTGGGGGTTGGATAAGGCACCCTGGGCTGTCAGGGGACTGCCCACTGCGTGGGTAAACATTTTTTTCCACTGTAATGCTTATGTCTTTGGTTTTCACATTTTCATTGAAGGTAGTGGGAGAGGGTGGGCTTTACCTGACATTATTAGGAGCAGCAGCCTTCCCCAGGCCAGCTCAAATCAACCGAGGATGATGCCATAAGTGGGGCCGAAGAGGGGCCCTCTGGGTCAGGGAATCTGGACTGGCTCTGGGCTGCTTAGGGAGTCGGGGGGGTGAACCCTGGGGGCCTGACACAGAGCTTGTCCTGCATTCGCCAGGATCCTGAGCTGTCCAGGGAACGGGAAGGATGCTTTCCTCTGGGAGAAGCTAGGTGGGTCTGTCCTTTGGCCCCTAGGGAATGGGCGGGTGAATCTGTGCCTTGTAAGGGAGTAGGGAGGGGCTCTGTGCACAGTTCTGTAAAACATGTCTGAGATTTGACAACTATTAAAGAGGGTTTGTAACAATCCAGCTTGCTGTCTAAGAGATGCTGCTTCTGGCTCTGGAGACCAACTGGAAAGAGGCCCGCCACCCTGAAGTGGGGCCGGAAGGGCAATGGTCGGGAGGTGTTTCCGCAGGGTCCACCAGGTGGCGCTGCTGCCCCAGCCTAGGAGCCTGGCGGAGCTCAAAGTTACTCTGTGGCTTCTCCAGCCCTGTGGGTCTCTTGCTCCAGTGGGAGCGCTGGTGAAAATGCAGATTCCAGGCCTTGGGGATTCTGATACAGCAGATCTGGGTTGGGGACAAAGAATCTGCCTTTTTAGCAGCCCTCCAAGTGATTCCTGAATCATGTTGCTTTTAGATTCTCAGGTCCTGATAAGATGTAGGTACAGATGCTTCCCCGAGAGAGAGATGGGGGCGGGGGGGGGGGCGGGCAGGCCAGACAGCCTTGTCTTTAGCGAGGCGGTAAGGGGGCACACGTTAGGGACAGTGCAACTGTTGATCTGAACCTAATTAATTTCTTGCAAGAGACTTTCTGTGGCTGACTCTCTGGCCTTTGGAGGGCACGGGGGACAGCCCCAGGGGCCGAAGAACCCTTGAGCTCCACGGAGCCTGTTCTCTGCAGCAGTCATAGTCAGAGGCTCTCCCCCGAGCTCTCAGCCTGCACAGAGGGCTGAGGGCTCGGAGTGAAGCCATTCCAGCTTATTTTATTTATAATCTGCCTCATTCCACAGGCAAGTACAAGTAATAAAACGTGAAACATACCAGGGAAAATATAAGCCTGTGAGGAAGTGTAGACACCGGTGAAATAAGGCCAGCCGAGTTGCCCAACCTGGTGATGGCGAATCCGTGCTGTGCATATCCCGTGTTCTCCACCACTGTACTTGCAGTGGACATCACCAGTTGATCACCCCTCTTATTTCCTTAGCCCAGAGGCACCCTGGCCATACTCCAAGCTGATGTTACTCACTGCAGCCTCAGAATCCTTCCCAGTTCAGTACTGTCCGTCAATCCAGTTGGCATGAGACATGAAAGCAGTTGCCATCTTTGAGCTCTAGTTGTTTAGTTGAATCAGAGGTAATTTTGCCTCTGAGCTTCCTGGAGGTCAAAGCAAAAAGGGAAACTTTGTCAGTTCTATAGCTCTCATTTCCCAGAGCTTCCTTAGCTTAGCTACTAGGAAGAATGTGTCTGGCTGGAATCCAGAATTCAAGACCACCCTCAAACAAACTGATATCCCCCTTCATGACTGGAGCAGAAAGCATATACAAGCCTACTGTGTCTCACCTTGTGCTGGTTGTGGGCAGCGAGGACAGAAGCTGTGCGTCTGCCGAGGGGGAACCAGGAAGACCCAGCGAATGCATGCAAAGCGATTGAGGGACAATTTTACATAGTAATGGAGGCTTAAACAGCATTTGCACTGTTCTAGTCCCCTTGACGTATGCTGACCGACTTGACTCACTATAATCTTAGGAGGCGCATGTTCATTATGACCCCCAACTGACAGATAAGGACAATGAAAAACACGTCTTCGGCTGCTAGGAGGAGCAGAAGCTACCCCCTGGCCTGCTGGTTGTGTAGCTGGCGCGGCTGCCTAGGGAATCAGGAGCTGCCCCACATGCTGTCTGCCTCCTCTGGCCCATGGAAGGGACCCACAGGCCACCCTTGCCCCGATGATGGCCTTCTAGGGGGAGAAAGGCTGAGTTAAGAGACAAGGCTTGGTCCCTGGCTGTGGGCAGTTGAGACTCTGGGGCTTCAGGTGGACTCAGAGCTGTGTGGGGTGGGGACACAGTCTGGTTCAGCTCGGAGGTCCCTCGGTGCCCATGCGACAGTCCCACATCAGCAGGTCTCAGGGAGGGCTTCCCTGAGAAGGGCTTGGGCGTGGGTAGGGCCTACCGGGGTTCAAATGGAGGCTTTGGTGCTTCCTAGCCACGTGACCCCTGGCAAACCCTTTCTCCCCTTGGAACCTGCCTTTCCTCATCTGAACACCAGGATGTTGACAGGGTCGTGTGAGGCTCAGGTGATGGGAAGGAGGTAGAAGCCTCAGCAAGTGCCTGGCTCCCTGAGAACCCTGAACCAGAGCAAGCAATGGTATCCCTTGGCTTTGCCCATCTCACGGTATTCCCAGCTGAGCAGACACCTTTCCAGTCTCTGTCCCAGACTGTGGCAGGAGATGGCTGTGGGTAGGGGTGAGGGTCTGCAGGAGGTAGGGGTGAGAAGCACAGGGCATGATGGGGCAGGAGAGTGTAGGTCACCAGATGGTGGGGCTTTCCCGCCCTTCCGTGATGCCCGCAGGGAGTAAGGGAGACTTGAGGTAGCGACTGTCCCAGGCCAGCTGCTGACCCCCAACCTACATGGGACCAGCTGCGGGGTGTCAGCTGCAGATCCCCTCTGTGGCCTTGGGCTGCCTCTCTTGGGCGGGCAGAGTGGAGGAGAAGGTGGAAGATTCTACCTGGCCTATTGTTAAGGGTCCTTTCATCTTAATGGGGTCCCTCGCTACTTTCCCCTCAGGAAGGGTACAGAGAGCTTCTCAGGTTGGCTCTTCAGAAGGGCAGGGAGTCTGGGGACCTGGGTTTGGATCTAGCTGTACCGCTGTCTTCCTGTGTGACCCTGGGCCAGGGAGCAGGGGTGAGCTCAAAACTGTGTTCACAAACTAAAGAAGGCTGAGAAAATGTCAGAAGTTATTAAGAAGATGGGCTGAACCCCCAGCCAGCTTCCTCCTGAGGCTTGTCCCCACGCCTCGCAGCTGGAAAGTGCCCGAGCCAGCGCTGGGACTGCACAGATCTGACTCTAAGACATCCTCTTGCAGGCCTCCTGGGACCCATCCCCCAGGCTGGGCTATGTTGTCAGACTGTGGGCCTAACTTCTGTGACATCTGGTCATTTTGAGCACTGAGCCTGCTGGGCCCCTCACTCCTACCTCCTGGGGAGGAACCAATTTCCTCTGCCCTCCTTCCCCCACAGGCTTCTGAGATTCTGGAGGGAGGGAGCAGAGTCCGGCTTCTCCAATTCCCGAGTTGGCCCCTCTAGCCAGTCATCCATCCCGAGCCCACCTGGGGCTTCCAGCCTTGTTGCCTCCCTCCATGGGCTGCTGGACCAGCTGAGGGGCCATGAGGGCTTCTGTGGGGGGTGGGGGGCACCCGCAGGCTGTCATCTCTGCCATGAAGGTCCCGGCTAAGGGACATGCAGCTCAGATGACTGCCACAGGGGCCCCATGATGGCCTGGTTGCTGAGTCAGAGGGCAGGAGGGTGCGAGGGTGACCCTGGGTAGAGCCCACCCACGACTCCCTGGGACCAGGCGGGAAGCATAGAGGGGAACCAGCTTGCTCTCTGGGTCCTTTGGGGGGTCAATGGCAGTGTCCAGGAAGGGGGCTGTCTGGCACGGACACTGATTATGGGCATGGAAGCCAGATTAGAACAGGAATAAGGTCCTTCTGTGTGGATTGGCAGGAGGTGCAGGGGAGCTTAGGGGGTGGCCTGGGGAGGAGAGAAATATTCCAATATTTTCATAACTGCTATGGCTGCATAGGCAAGTACCCCCGAATATCAGCTCACATGCACACACACACATGCACATGCACACACATGCACACGAATACGCAGGCCCTGCCACCCCTTGAGGGCTCAGTCCATTCCAAGCCGTGAGGGAGCCCGGATCTTCTCCTCAGACTAAGCTGTGGCCAGTGTTGAGCAGGCAGGAAAGGTCAAATGTCTGCCAGCCTGGAATGTTCCAGAGCTGACCTGGCAGACCCCCATCCTGCCTGTTTCCTAGCAGAGCCTCCTCCAGCCCCCTCCCTGGGGTCTTCCAAGTGAGCAAGTTTCCCAGGCTGAGGAGCCACGTGCTGAAGGTGACTAATGTCACACACTGGGGTGTCCAGCCCCCAGGGCCTCTCCCAGGCCAGGACTGCCACCACTTCCTTCTCCCTGCAGACGGACAGAGACCCGACTCGCCACACTGCCTCCGGACAGCTATCTGGCTGCTCTCCGGAGTTTCTGGAACCTGTGGGCTAAGCTTCAGTTGCTCACTGTTTGTTCGTTCACTTGTTCACTCATTTGTTCTTTCCTTCATTCATTCCATGAATGCTTAAATGGGCACTTCCTCTGTGCCAGGCACCGTTCTAGACTCCTGAGAACACAGCAGTGAAGAAAAGCAGGTCCCTGACCGTATGGCACCTGTAGTCTGGTGAACACAAGGGGTCTGGCACACTCTCCCGTACACACCTACACGCCCGGACGTATGCACACATGCCTTCGCCATCACAGCTCAGTCCACGCCGACTGTGGCCGTGGGACCCCTGGGGCCCATCCAGAGCCTCTGGCATCCTGCGGAAGGAAGTAGAATAATGACCAGCGAGTGGACAAACAGGAAAGGGTGCAGAAGCACTCACACTCGGCCCCCTTCCCCTCCAGCCACGCTCTGCAGGAATCAGCAGCCCCGGGCAGCCCCCCTCCCCACGGAAACAAATCACGCAGCTCCTGCCCTGGGACAAGTAGCCTCTCCGACTCCTCCGTGACATGGGCTGTCATTCCAACCTCCCGGGCTTACCGCGTTACCGTGGGAATCGCATGAGGTAACAGACAGCGAGCTGCTTCCCGGGGCAGCCTCTTCCCGTGACCGTGACCAGGCAGGGCTTCAGGGGCATCCCGCATCCTCTGGAGGTGGCCCTCCCCGGACAGGAACAGGCAAGTGGAGAACTTCGGTGCCTCCAAGGCAGGGACTGCAGATTGGTCCAAGAGGCTGGGCACTGGGGCAGGAAGCAATCTGTGCTGGGCCCCTGCCCCGTGGGGCGGAGCCTCGGCGGCGGGGGTGGGGGGGAGGCCTGCCGAGGCCATCTGAGCTGTGAGTACCCACCCCCACCCCCAGCTGCCCCCCCTGAGGTCATTTCCCCCCCCCCCCCCCCCCACACCTGCCTTCTGGGCTGGGACGATGTCAGTCCCAGAAGCAAGTCCCTCCCCACCCCCCCTTGTCACCTCAGATGCCTCAAGTATGTCCTCTGGGAACAGGAGTGGGCTTCCTGCAGGATGCTGGGGGTGCAG